TTTTTTTTTTTTTTTTTTTTTTTTTTCTTGTCAAAGATTCAAGTACCGGCAATTATTCTGGTAACTTTTTCTTCACGAGTATTCATATGATACGTGTGCATATGAATTGCGGATGGATAAGGTCGGTTTGAGATACGAGTATGTTAAAGGGTAACCATGGCCAAGTATCGGAATCATTAGATTTCAATGAGAGGGAATAAAAATTGAAAGAAAGAAAAAAATCATTAATTCGCGATACCTTCGCTTGCACCTTGCCAGTCTACCCTGAAAAAGCGTAGCCTAATGGTCAATTTGATGATCGTAGTGATGATCCAGAATCATTAAAGAGATCCTCATGGAAGGGCTTTTGAAGGAAAATTCATAGGGAGCATATCAATCTATAAAGTACTATCATGAACAAAATTTGTTATTCACTGAAAATTCTAGTAAAATTGATTGAGTTTACTTGTAAGTGTTACAATACTAGTAGTGAATTTTTACAGCATTTGTTTTTATCCATAGGGGAAAAGTGTCGGAGGCGGCTATGGAAGTAATATAGGAAAATGTATGTCTCCTCAGACATATTTTTTCTAGTAGCAAATTTCGTTTGTTCAGATACTAAAAATTATCTAGTAATTTTTTGGAGTTCACACGACTTTTTCATATTTCAAGGGGAGGAAAAAAGGGGAAATCCCACATTGCTAGCTGTATTATTTCACTCTGGGTATAACGGTCGTCTGATAATAATGAGGGGAAAATGAACATTCTCAAGTTTTTTTTTTTTTTTTTTTACGATTAATGCTCCTATTGCAACGATAACGATAATTATTATCCTTGCGTTATGTCGCTGTCGCCATTTGCGATAATGCACGTCGACGAATGCAATTTGGTTCGCGAGCGACAAAAACTGAATATACCGCACGTAAATAGTGGAATTAAAATTATTATGACAGTCTATATATATATATATATATATATATATATATATATAGATACATATGCAGTAATAAATTTTATAACCGTGGGCCTCGAAATGTCAAAAGTGACAGTAAATTTAACTTGAAATCTAAAATTACGCAAAGTATCATCTCGGAGTACGTTATATAGAGATAAGAGATAAAAAATGTTTTTCAATCAAAAAAATATTATTACTAATAAATATTTCTTATGTCTGGAAGTATTTCGTTTCAGAGTGAAAATTCGATACTTTCATATTTCAAATGGGAAATGATATTCAAATTAGAGAACGATGCGTAGTTTTCGTTTGCATAAAAAATGTAAACTCGTTCTGAATGTGTCAGTGATATCTATAACGTCCATTTATTTAGCGCGCGTTCACTATCAATTTTATGGTCGCGACGTCGCGTTATGAAAATAATAATTTCTTATGAGCGATGATACAATTTTTATGACGGGACGTTCGATTATCGCTTGTCGTCGTATGGTATTCTTTTTCTTTCTTTTTTTTCTTCGTTAGCTCTCTCTCTCTTTCTCTCTCATTCAAGAATTTCAAGATTCCTCATACCGTCATAAGCTACTTCAGCCGAATGTTTTTAATTAATTATATTTAATTTTCAAAATATGAAAAAAAAAAACAAAAGATTACTGACATTGCTCATAATAAAATCTCAGGTTAGGTTGTATTTCTGATTGGAATATGTTACTTAAAAAATTTTATTTAATCCTGCATATTTTTATTTTTTATTTTCTCCAAATGACAAATTATCATCATCACCTCCATCGTATCAGTACACTAAATGATGAAACTTGAACATTCCCTAAAAAAAACTTAAAATCCGACCAGATAAAATGGAAAAAAAGAGACATCCCTCGCCCATTAGTTTCGCACCTCGACTACTTTAGTCCTTGCAGAAGTGGCCGTAAAGCCCGTTTATTGTTATTATTCCAAGTTGTTCAACGTTATAAGACAAACCTCGCCAATTGCCAAGTCTTTGGGCCTCTTTACTGCCGCGTTAACCATTGACTTTCTACGAGACTATATAGAAAGAGATCGAAATAACACACGGTACAAGGCCCCAACCGCAAGGCGGGGCCTTGCGGATGCAAAGGAACGTCAATTTGATTACATTTGCGTTTTAATACCATCTCTAACACGTGAAACGATTTGCCTGAAGAATTCAAGGACTGCGAGGTATATTGTCCAAGAAGAAGAAAAAAGAGAAACGTAATTTTTCACGTTCTCGCCTATCCTAATTTTTTCATCATTATAATAAAGAATGTAAATTCTCCCGCAGATACAAAAGGAATCTACCACGTAGAGCTCCGAGAAGTGTATTCGTCCAGCGTTGGCCAGCCTGTCCGAGCGTAAAAGGTCGCCAGTGCGCACACACTGTATATGGGAGCGAAATAGCCTGCAATTTGCAGCTTTACGAGTTATTTCACAATGGCTGCAAAGTATAGTGCTACAGTGGTATTACAGTACCGTGGTAGCAGGGGCACGAGTAGCCAGTTTTCCCCACTAGCGCCACCTGCCACCCTTCCCATGTAAACCATACAGGTACCAGCTCGATAGTGGATCCAGATAGGTGATATTAACATTGTGAACAGTAGTGGCGCAAGAACCCAAGTACTTGGAGGAATCCCGGAGTTTGATTGGTGGGTGGTAGTGGTGGGGGCCGAGAGGGGCGGAGCTTAACGCAAAGGTCTAATACCGCACGAAAAGCTCTCTCTCGATGGAGGTTCTGATGCCTAAGGCAGCAACCCTTCCCTCGTCCACCCCACCCCGCCCCCTCCTCATCGGTTATCCTATTTCAAGACAATAACCGGGCACGACTATAAATCTGTCGGGACTGTTCTTGCATGCGGGAACTCTTACGTACTGCCGTTGAATACGCGTGGAAGGGATGAAGCGTTAGGGATTTTTGGATTTTGGGAAATTTTTTCCATTCAATCCCTAACAAGTATTATATTTTTCACTAACAATAAGGTATATAAAGCTCTTGTGAGTTTCTTGTGGTTTATCTTTCTAACCAAACCTAACCCTAACCCGTAACCCTAACCTACGGAGAATTCGTTCGCGCCAACAATCTAAATGGTAATACGATACACCGTAACCTACAACTGGGGGACTTTTTAAACCGCAAAAAGTGAAAACCCTTAGGTTCCATTTGGCAGCCTTTAAATAAAGCGAAAGATCGAATTGAGAAGAAACCAAACGAAAGTGGAGGAGGGAGTTCCCCCTTTGTGTCCGATGCCGGTTGCAAAAAGCTTTAACAAGCCAGTTCGGTCCGACGCCGGTATATCTCCCACCGATAATGCCGTAGGGCCCAAAAAGACCGATTCCAACAGAGGGCATCCGTGTGGTAGGTAATTATCTCGTGTCGGTATAAAAATAATAATTAACCCAGGATCATTGCATTCATTATAATGCGAAACGCGTTGGGCCTAATTGCATGTCTCCGTGTGATGATCCCGTTTTGTTGGTAGCAATGGACGACGGTGGTGCCGACGACGAGGAAGAGAAAAATTAATTGGCTACCGTATGAAAAATCTACCCCTAATTAAAAGTTTTAGGATAATTAGATCAGTTGATGATTATGTTAATTATTGAAAAAAAAAAAAAAAAACATTAATTACAAATAACTGCGAAGTCATCCAAGCTATATGGTTTCAAATTCATCGAAAATCCAAATTCATGTTAAATTGAAAAATTAACATAATTTGAAAAAAAATTTTAAATTTTGACAACAATTTTGAATTTTTTTTTCAAAATTGTAAAAAAGTTAAAATTTTTTTTTTTCCTTTTCCATATGTATGTATCTCAAAATATGGCTAGCTAGGTACTTGCCTGACGCACCTGTTTGAACTGCTCCTCGAAGCTCCAACTGGTCTGCTGCTGATGTCCACTTCCGCTGTTTCCTTGGGAATGATTGCTGTTGTCGCGCACATCTCCATTGCGTGCGCTACCCTGGGATGATTCGCTGGAGTGTGAACTGGCGGATGAGGTTGTCATGTGGGCACCACCACCTCCGCCACCTCCACCCCCAGTACCGCCGCCACTACCGCCACCACCAACTTGAGACACGTGACTTGGCTGCGAGTGATGCTGAGGCGTCAGGAAGGGCGTTCGGGGTGGAAATGAAAAGGGCAGATTGAATCCCGTTCCACCCATAGCTGCCTGAAGTGCTTCCAGACCACTTTTGTTACCCAGGACGTCCATCTCACCCTGGCGAAGTAAAATAATTATTTTCTCCGTCCTGCCCCCCCTCTTTTTCCATCATCCATTCAATAAGTCACACATTATCCAAGCAAAGTTCACGCAAGGTCACGTCTGAATTGTACCACGTGGTAAATGGCAAGGATCCCCTTATCGAACAGGTTACTTCACATGCACTCGTATATCGTTATCGTTATTATCAGTCAGGAAACAGCAGGTCGGTAAACGTAAAACCGGATAGCGTGCACAAAGATACGAGTGCTGGATAAACAACTGTAATTATCGGGATTTGGCTGCTGACTTCAGGAACTGTATAGTTACACTGATCCTAGTAACATTATTGTATATATATATAATTATACATTGTATGCTGATATATATATATATATATATATATATATATATATATATATATATATATATATATATATATATATATATATATATATATATATATATATATATATATATATATATATATATATATATATATATATATATACATATATATATATACACAATATACAACGTTCACGCGCTGATTAGAGAGTTACTAGGACAATTGAAAACGTCAGATACCGAAACGTCAAATTTGACGTTTACAACTTGTTGACATCCAATAATTCTTGTTTTGGTTTTTTACTGCCGTGTTAACCGTATACCGTGACAGTAGCTGGGTCGTCTTTAGCACGGTTTTCCGATATCGTGACTGATAACAGATAATCGAAATTATTGATGTGTATGAAAAAGGATTATTGTTGCGCGGTAATATTGAATTTTCGAATTCGATAAATTTATAATGTTTACGATGCTCAGATGCAGTCACGTGTTCGATTTGACGTAAGGAATACTTATTAAATAATCGAAAGTGTATATTCTCATCGAACGAAATCTAATCTGAAATTTCTTTGACGTACCTCCATTTTAAGTTTTGCAAGAAAGTGTGGATGATGACTGCTCATAAGGCTGTTAAGATGAGTGAGTGGTGTTGGGGCGATTGTATTTATAGATGTCACTGCGTTTGAAGCTGTTGCCGTGGCGCTAGCGTCGCTTGACGAATGACTGTTTGCCTGTAACGGTTGCTGAGGAAGTTCTTCGCCGCTTTCTTCATCCTGTAGATCAGGATCGGATAGATCTTCCTCCTGGTGCGACTGAGAATTCAAAAAAAGGTTTTCGTTTTTTAGTATACAACAGGCACTTCTTTTATCGCAAGCTCAATTTATTTTAGGATCCGTGTGTCTTGTAATCATCGAATTAAAACGGGTCGCCATGACTTTTCTTTTAAATCGTGTAAACATTCAAATGGATCCGTTCGACGTAGTTTCCTGCCTTCTTTGCTATTCAAATCCGCCCGTATTGTCAGGTCCCAAAAAAAGTGGATGTCAGGAGGGGGATGGTTAGTCCTGGGGAAAAAACCCGAAATGGGCGGTCCAAGACAAATATCGGATTCTGGTGGATAACGTAATATCTCGCAACAAGATTTCTTCGGTTGAAACTGATTGTGGGGATGAAGGAAGTTGGGTGGTTATGCGGGGGAGGGGGGACAATTAGCAAAAAGGGGGTAAGATGAATTTTTTCATCGAGCTAAAATAATAATTCGAGATTGATATAAAGAATTGAAAAGTGAAATTAAAATTTTGAAATCTCTCTAGGGAATTGTTATTGGTTCTGTGTCGGCGTTTTTTTTTTTTTTTTTTTTTCATTCATTTTCTTCCCATTTTCGAGCACGTGTGATAATATTGACACGGACCAAGATGGAATCCTGTTCAAACACTCGGACAATGGTCCATTCCACGAAAATTCCGATCTCGAAGTTGGGACCACGAGAAAGTTCTCTAGAAATTGATTTAAAAAACTAGCATTATTTAGAAATATATAAAATTGAGTAAATTTCAATTTTTTTTTTACCGCAAGAGAATCGAATGTCAATTCACCTATCGCTAGCCAGATATCGATTATCCAAATGCATCGGATGGATCAAGAGAAAAAAGAAGTAAAAACTCAGAAAAGGCAAAACGGACAAAAAGGAAGAAAAACACCAGGGAGCCCAAAAGAAAAAAGAGCTTGGGCTCCATAACCTCTTACGTTAGCATAAACCACCCACGGTCAGGTAAAAATGTCACCCTGCGCAAACAAGTGGGCGCGGTTAGGTCGATCCTGACGGGAAAAAAAATCACTCCCACATTTTGGACTTTTGGATAGATCTATACGTAGAAGTGCATGAGGTTGTAGATGACATGAAAAAAAAAATGAGTTGCATATTATATATAAACATCAATAATAAAAAATGAAGTTGCGTCTTTGAAAGACGAAATTTCATTATGAAAAATGTGAAAAAATCCAAAATTTATTCGCGGAAATGAATCGCAATAAATTCATTTTTGAGTCAACATTTTGTAAATTTTTTTATTGCGTTCAAATTTACATTGTAATTTTAGGTTTAAAAGAATCTCAAGATTGGCCTGCTTGAGGACAATAAGCGCATTATTCAATGTGGTTCTGAATAAAACATCAAGACAAAAAGGAAGACGAAAAAGAAATAAAATGTCCCTGGCAAAAATGGGCCTGACAGGTTTTTTCTCGAAAGAAAGAAGATGCAATTTATATATCTGTATAATCCGCGATATTCGCGTAAATCTATTTACACACAAGATTCATAAGGTCATGCATACCGAGTGTCGAATAAGTATGGTGATGGCGATAAGGCCCAAAATGAAAATCGGCTAATCTACATTCTTGTCCTGCATATTATACATATGTGGATAAAAAATTGAACAATCCAGTATTTAATTTAACAGAGCCATTTTTTCAAATACTTTCGTGATATTCATTTAAAAAGTTTTTCAGGTTAAATTTGCCTTTACTCAAAAAATTCACCATTTCGTGAATCCGACCAACCGCGTTCGTTTCATATTTACAATTTCCTTCATAATCCGACTACTTCAGGATTGAGTAAAAAAATATCGTCGAAATTCCGAAACAAAAATTTTCTAACGATTTTAATATCCGAACCGTATCGAATATCAATGCTATTACTGTGTTCGATAGTTATGTCGAATAAGTTCTGTTAGTAAATGCCTGTTCGTATAATCATAGATTGACAATGGGACCCTTTTTCTTGGACCCCTGTCGCGTTCCCACGTATATATGACACGACACGAGTCCCAGTGCTGGATTGGGTCCTTGCGAGAATCGATCGTGGTATCGTTTAAACGTGGACATCGATCGATTTAGATCACGAGATTGCTCTAAATAATCGTCGAATGTCGATGCTATCAGGTTGCACATGATTTATTTGATGCCCACCAACTGCCCATATCACAGGGCCCCCGTTATTTATTATTGGGCCTTATCGTGTTTACGAGACAATTTCTTTTCCATTGAGAAACCTATTAAAATTTATCCTGACCCAATGTCCATATCAGCAGTGTTTCGTGTAATACATAAAAATTGGGCCTCAAGGACCAATAATTCTTCAACAGCCCCCCCCCCCCCACGCAAACATTCACAAAGGAAAGATACGACAAAAAAATAATCCAATATTCCATCTCAAGATTCACATCATTCGATGCCCCATGGGTTCAACATGCCCCCCCCCCCCATACGCAAACATTCACAAAGGAAAGATACGACAAAAAAATAATCCAATATTCCATCTCAAGATTCACATCATTCGATGCCCCATGGGTTCAACATGTGACAGGCCCCACTTGGCAATTTTCCATGGGGCCCTAAATACCACTATGGGACCTTACGCCAGAGGGGTCTTGTATTGCTAGCACGTGTTTAACAGGCTTCCCTATTGTTTACCAAAGTTATTTCAAATAAAATTGCAATAAGACTGTCCAGCGAGGTTGAAGCACGAAGGGGCCATCAGAGGTGCTTGGAAAAAGTTGAGAATTCAGGAACAGGGGTAGGTGAAGAATCCTATATAGCCAATCGTCGAGGTAACGAGGGGGCACAGGGGAAGACAGTACAGTAGCACTAAGTAGGAGAAATGTGGACTATGGGAAAGGCGGAGGGGAGGCAGGGGGAGCATGGGCGACCAAACCAGAAAATACTTCATCACGTGTTTGCCAGATTGGAGACACGTGCCCTCCCAGTCGTTGCAGCAGGCTGAAACGCAGCAGCTACGACGAAGTGCAAGCTGAGATCAGTATGGAGTCTATAGGAAGGACTGAGTGAGGCTGAAGTGGCTGGGCAAAAAGTTTAGGGTCCGGAAGGTCATGCAAAGAGTGAGTCGTCGGTACGGTGGAAAGACAATTGAAAATTATTATGGTCAGAGAGGAAGAAGGAGAGAGCGAGAGAGAGAGAGAGAGAGAGAGAGATCCTGAAGCCTTGCAGGTCTAGGCTGCTGGCTACGGGAGTCGAGCGTTGCACTGTTCAAGTCAAATAAGAGTTCGGAGAATGAGTGAGAGTCAAAGAAAATACCGCCAGGCCAAGAATGCCAGACAGTCTAACGGGAGTCACAAATTATTTTTATAAATCCCCCCGGGTTATGCAACTTTACCGAATCCTTGGCAGGGGGTATTTCCAGAAGTGAACCACGAGTCAGAGCGATCACGAACGTGCACCAACAGTCTCGTGTTTAACAGCATCTCGCACCTTTGTCATGCACATTAAAATTTCGAGCCAACGAAAAAAAAAAAAAAAAAAAGAAAAAACTT